GTTATCCTTCAGTTTATCCACATTTACACCTTAATATCATGAAAGTAAACGAATAAATACAGCAGCCAATTCACATCTACCGACCGGGCGATAGACAAAGAAAGAAATCATACTATTTTGTGAGCGCATGAAAGTCGAGCTCGCTGAAATTAAGTATTAGCATTCAATTTTTGGTTCTCAATGATAAAAAAGTTTATGTTTCTCTTTTGTTTTACCAGTTCGACATTCATAAAGAGAAAGTAACTGATTTTTCTCGTTCTTCAGGATTCCATTGCCGGGAATTTTCTTTTTAATTGCTCGTTTCGTATTTCACCGTCCATTCCTGTTTTTATTCTGCTATATATCCTTGTTAGTTGAATTTTTTATTTCATGTTTATAGAAATGGATAGCAAAGGTATAGTGACATCTTTTATTAAAATTATTGTTTCATTAGCTAAGATAATTATGTGCGTAATTCATTTGGTACCGAGATATTTGATAAAGATGTTAAATTTATTACAATGATTTTTAATCTTTACATATTTTTAGAAGAAGTCCATATAAAAATTCGAGTCAATGTCAAAATATTTTCATCAATGTCATTAGGGTGGTAGTAGTTTTTCTGTTAAGAAAGGTAATATTTAATTTACTTCCTAGCAGTAAAATGAAAGTGAATATATCACTCTACATGCCAGGTAACCATTGGATGAAAAATACTTCAATAAGATACGGCTTTTGTAAAACACATGATACTGATAAGAAATGGAAGTCAGTAAAAATTAGCTGGACAATTTTGCTTCGTTGTCTGTAGTATAAGGTTAAAGAGAAATGCATTTAGTGTATTGAATGTAAGTTAAATTGAATCCAAAAAATGTCTGTTTTTGTATGTGTTTGTCCATCATTTCTTTAAAACCATTATGTCGCTGATGTTAAAGTCCACTTTTGTTGACGTCTATTTACCTATTAGATAAGCAGAGAATAATAACTTATTTCTTTTACTAACTGTTTTTATCGGGTGGCGTAGAATGAATTACGGTCAAATTTCATTTTTTTTAAATTTTTTTTTAGGGAAGTTTGTCTATGATTGTTGACATTTTCACTATGTGGTCCCAAGAGATAGCTTCAATCGGTTCATCTCATAAACTATAATTTAATCGACATCAATCATGTGAATTTGGTACTCCACGAATCTTCAGGATAAAGTCAGGAAAATAATCAGCAGAGCATTTTTGACTTTGAATAGGAGTGTGAGGTCTTACATCATTTTACTAATGTCTTCTAGTGTTTCGCCTAACCCACCGACATTGTTACTACTTGTTCACATACATTTAACTACACCATCACCTTTATCAGAAATTTCGTCTTCTGATAGACAGCAACTTTCTTTTCTACCTATGTGCTGTGTGCCCCATATGTAATCGTTCTCAATATTGTAATTAGCTGATAGATTGAACGGAGTGAAGTTATCTAAAGGGATTACTTAGCAATAAAGTCAATATTCAAAGATGAAATAAAACCTTTCGTCGAAACAATTAAAAAACAAAGAGAATTCAAATTTTCTATTCAGCACTACCCGCTACGTCTAGGTGGATTATATTTGATACTATCACACATATATTCATATATCCATACATAGTAAAGTGAATATTAGGATTTGTTTTTGAATAATAGAAGACTTCCTAATAATTACTTTAGGTCTTAGATTACTTTTCTTCTTGAATTCTGAAATTTTCATAGTTTTTTAAGGTGTATTGAAACTTATTTATACGTCAAACCGATGTGAAAGAAGGAGACGAAGAAGACTGCAAATCGATCCATATCCTAAATTGTTAAAAACATGAATCATTCGATGCAGAATTTTACGATGAGTCCTTTGATAGTAATTTCAAGTCGGTTCGATCATAACCAGGATAGTAACAGTCTGAAATACTGACCTTCGTTTCTCACCTCTAAAATTGACCTCCATATCTGCATCGAGGCTTATAAGAACAAGGGTATTGTAAAATCGTATCGATACATTCTATTGATTGTGGGCATGGGTGGATTATAAGCACACTCACGCCCTTAAGTATAGGTTGTTTAGTTAACGAAACTAAACCAGCAATTGCATTTTTTTCATTCTTTTATAGTCAAGCTGTTTTACTAGGCTACTATGACAAACAAATGATCAATAACTTTTTTTTCAGTCCTTTTTCTTCCTACTCTCATCTTCAAAGTGTTTGTTGTTTATTCCGTATCGCTGTTATGCTGAATTCTTCTTTTTCTTTGAAAGAAAACAAAAAATTCTTATGCTGGCAATGTTGTTTTGATTATTATATTAAAAAAAACTACTGTACATAGATAATTTATTTTTCTTTTGAAACAAGCAGAAGACGATGTCTACCAATAACAAGGACAAGCAATTAAGACGATGTTTAGACGCTGCCATAGAAGCTGTGTATCGTGTCATTAGAAAACTACGACCATCAGCTATATCTGAATCAAATACTTTATCCATAGATTCAGTTTTGAATGATATGAATACATTTACATTAAATATAGAAGAAGATGAAGAAATGGATAAACTTCAAAAGGAAATCGAAGGTATTTTTAATCGGCATTTACCATTTCTATCTTCAATGTATAGAGATTATGTATTAAATTTTTTACATCAGTATGACTATGATTATAATCAACGAATTTTCAAGGACCATTTAAGTATGAGTACTATTCTTCCATTATGCCGTGGTTTTCAAAGTCTTTTAGCTTCAATCGATGCTTTTCAAGCTGCCTGGGATGGAAAAGCAGAGATTGTTGATAAATTTATTAAAAGTTATTCAATTCTAAAAGACAAGCCTGGACTTTGGGGTACAACTCTTTTATATTCAGCAGCACGAAACGGTCATATAGATGTGGTAAGATATCTTGTTGAAAGTGCAAAATGTTCTGTTAATGCCCAAAATGAACAACATCTTGAGAAAATCTTATCATCTGACACGAAAAACGTTGATTATGAGGCTGGATCAAGAGCAGCATCAACTGCACTACATGGAGCATGTTTTAATGGACGTTTAGAAATTGTTAAATACTTAGTTGAACATGGAGCTGATTATTTTATAAGAAATCAAGCCTTAGAAACACCACTTCTAAATATAGGATCTCATGATGATATTAAACAGTACTTTCGAAATTATCTTATCTTAGGTTATTCAACAACTATACCTGGTTTACCAGATAAACCTATATTAGAGGAAACTACACTGATAGTAGATTGTATTTGGGAATATAAATCACTCAAAGATCAAGAGTGGTGTTCATTTACATCTAATGAATCACAAATATTACAAAAATCTTTAATAATAGAATCTGACCAACAATTTGAATGTGAAATTCATTTAACAGCATCCAATGACATTTATAGTATTTCAATGACTAAATTTCTGCGTTCAAGTACAAATCTCGATGAAAATAATTTAGCTTGGATTCGATGTCGTGGTTCATCAATTTTAAATTTCGATTGCTTTTCATTATGGCAAATAATGTTTTCAACACATCCGAAAGCTAAATCGAATTCTGTACCATCTTTAGATATCTCTAATATACCAGCAGTAGATGATTCGACATTCGAAATAGAACTTCAGTCTTGGTATAATTGTGATCCGAATACAAATTCACGATTAGATAGTGCAATGGATTATCGTCAAAAAATAGTCGATTTAAGTTTAGATTTTATTAGTGATAAAAATTTAATATTCAATCTTCAAACATTTTCATTTAAAAATCAGAGAGGTACTATTACAGGTTTTATTCGATGGATACCAAAATTAGTCTCAAATAATGAACAAGATAAAGACAAAACAAAAACAATAGATAATTTTTCAGCTATGACAAATTTAAATCCAATACCTCTCACAAGAAAATGTCGTCAGCAAATAACCGATGTAACGAATGATAGTTTACCTAAAGATGATGCATTATTTGAAGATGGAAATGGTGATGATGCAGCCTCATTGACTTTTGCAAATGATATTGATGACGATAATGATGATACAGATCATGATGTCTTATCAAGGTCCAATAAGGTAAACATAAACTAAGCGATAGAACGCACTGTCTATTAATTCTTATAGTTGAGTCAAAATTAAATTTTCTTGTCATCGAAAATTTCCCATTATAAATTTTCAGCATTACTCGAATCATGAGAGAGAACTGAATTTATAAAACTCTTGAAAGGTCAGAAAACAGTTTCTGTAAACTCACAGTCATACTCACGTCACTACAGCTGTTTTAAATATGTGAGTAAGCAAAAAACATGATGATGTCAACATCGTTTGAAACAGCAATATGTACCTTGCATACAAACCAAGTCAGAGGTGGCGAAAAGGTGATGGTAGGTAGCCTTCAAAGTAGTGGCGAAAGCGGCTGCTCTGCGCCTAACGGTATCTAAAACAAAATTCCAACAATTCTTTCTTCATATTTGTTACTGTATGATATTTCTTATAAATAGCGTTTCTTTTCTGGATATTTATATGAGAAGGGCAACATAAAGTTGGAAATCCTATCACGAAATAATATTTAATTAGGAAAAACGTAGCCATGCAAAAAGTGGCAGTCAAAATCGATCGTACACTTCATACACAAATTGACCTTTATTACACAATGAAAAGCTGTGCATTTTGTGATCTCGAGCAGAAGAAAGCATTTTGTACAGTGTTTCGACGAAGTTCTTCGCAGAATTATCAGAACCTATTTTTTGGAAATTTATTTTTTCTGCAGGATTTAATTATTCAGTACTCATTAATTCTAATGATATTTCAGTACACCCACACCCGTACTCCGAAATACGAAGTCTTAACTGTGGATATACTACTCCACCTAAAAACTCATCAGCTAGAGAGAATCCGCATAACTTATCAATTGTCGAAATCTTAGTTCTGATGATTGAAGTTTATTAATATGACTTGGCTCATTTTTTTTTCATTAATCACAATTGATTTTGAGCAATATTTCGATTCATTAGAAGAGTTTCTTTTCTCATGAACATGCAAACAGATAAACTTTTAGCTTATTTTCAGACAACTGAAGCATCTGATAGTGCTACATGGTCTGTCAATGACGATGCAAGTGATGGTGATGAATCTTCAATATCTGTTACTAGTCATGATGGAGCTGAAGACGAACAAGATTCAAAGTTTTCAACAATGATAACAGATGATACTTCTGATGAGATAGATGATGTTAAAATCGATGATTATCTTGATGCTCATAGTGACACTTCTCATCTGTCACTATCAACAAAAATAGTGAAAGACTCAGAAACAACAGAAAATCGTGGAATTGCAGAAACAATGTTAGAAGATTTAAAAAAAGAAATGGAAAAACTCAAAAGTGCTCGCGATGATGAAAGAGAAAAAGCTATGCTACAATTAAACTCATCTAAAGAGAGATCACATGAACTCGAAGAAACATTAGCTCAAACTCTTCAAAAGACTGAACAATTGAATGATGAACTTAAAAAAATGAAAAGAAAAGAAGAAAAAATAAAAGAAATAGCCAATACTATTCAAACAATCAAATATATTAAAATTGAAAGAAGTATTTTGTATGACTTTATAATACCAAAACAAGAATCAATACTTGATTATTTACAAAGAACAAAACAATTAGATAAGTTTTTCATTGATAAAATACCAAAAATGACATTCAAAGAAAGCGATAATACATTTTCATTAACTATAACTGGTATTCAAGCTCACCACGAAGCATTTAAAGAAATCTTAAAAAGAATATTAACTTTGTCAAATATAAAACAACGAGCTATTGAGTTTTATCAAAGACATCTTAGACGAATAACAACATCAATAAATAAGACACTTTTTCAAGTTCAACCAAACACTAAATATTGGAAACAATATAGCAAATTCTTATATGAGTTATTAAAAACAGAAAGTGCTCAATATCAGGCAAAATTCAAAGACTTTATTGGACTCAAAACCTTAGCATGTAGTGAGTTATTCATTCTAAGTGATTCTAGATCACCATGGGTTGAAATAAGAAAAGCAACTAATTCATTTATGACACAAACTTCATTTATAAATGATATTGAACGACTGAAACGTCAAGCATTAGACAAATTTATTGAACTAAATATTTCTTTTCAACGAATAAAAATTTCAATGAAACCAACGAAAACTTCAATCAACACTCTCAAACATTTTATCGAAAAAATTACACAGATGTTCGAAGAAGATCATAAATATATTGGTCACGAGAAAAAAAATTTTCGTCATGTCCCACACTTATTACAACGATTAATGGTTTATTATTGTTGTTTTACTATTCAATTACCTTTATATGAATCATCAATTGAATTATTAAAAACAATACAGAAGAATACAGTAATTACCATATCCACATCAACTGGTTCAGGTAAAGAAAATTCCTGCTGGAGTTCATCAGATTCAAAATTTTCAGAGTCCAGCACAGACTTGATCGAATTGGACTTCAATATTGTAAATGAAGTTTTCTAAACACCTCTCCGCAATGATAGACCCCGGATCTTTCAATCTACTCGAATATACAAAGTTGTCAGAGTGATCTTCTATTGTCTCATTTAGTGTCTTCATTTTTAATTAAAAACCTTGAAAATTAAACATATTTCGATATACATACAGTAATGAAACTTTCAGTTTTTTGGAAAAACTAATTACTTTCAGGAGTCTTCTTTTGTCGGATGAGATTTAATCGGGATTTGATAGTTCTACCGAAGACAAAAAAGATACTATATTCTGGCTTCTTGTATTCGATGATGCGATTGAAGAACTCTGATTGATTAAACTTCATTGAATCTGCTATATGAAATTCAATTCTTTTGTTTCTTTTTAAGGAAAATCAACATTGCTACCAGCTTTGTTGCTTGCTGAAGGATATGATAAAGTATTCGTAACACAACCTCGTCGTTTACCTTGCAGTTTAATTTGTGATCGTGTTAATAAAACGATGACAACTGATACAGATCCCAATTCAAAAAAATTAGCTGGATGGGCTGTTAGTGGTGATGAAAGTAATTCAAGAGCTAAAATTCTTTATTTAACAGATGGATTATTGAAAGAACGTTTACTTAATGATGAAAATTTTATTACCAATCATACACTAGCTAATAAATCTATTGTGATTTTTGTCGACGAAGTTCATGAAAGATCTGTAAATATTGATCTTTGTTTAGCATTAATAGCTCGTATGTTAACTGATAATCGAGCATTATCATCGAGAATCAAAGTTATTATCTCATCTGCTACATTACATCCATCTGTACCAAAAGTTTTTCAACAAATAAATCATCTTAAGTTTTCAGAATTCGCAAAACCATTAATGGGTACTCTTTATCCTGTAACAAAATTTAAACGACCAAATGCAAATATAATAAATATTGTACAAGAATTATATAATAAACGAGAAAGACAAGATCAAATATTATGTTTTGTTAATTCAGTTTCAGAAGTTAATCAATGTTGTCGTTTATTAGCTGAAATAAGTCAAAAAACAATTGTTGCTTATCCATTAGTTCAATCTCAATCATCATCTACTCAAAAAGAATATCTTCGAAAAGGAAGTGTGTTCTTTTCAACAACAGTTGCTGAAACTTCTTTAACATTTCCATCATTAAAATATGTGGTGGATACGGGTATGATTAATATTCCTGTTTTTGATATTGGAACTCAACGAATGATATTGAAAGAAGTGCATGCAGCTGAATCAACCATAAAACAACGTTCTGGACGTTTAGGAAGAACACAACCTGGAGAGTATTATGCTCTGTATGATTTTGATCCTAAAAAAAAACCATTTCCAGTACCACAAATATGTCAGTCGGACCTAATTAGTATTGAATTTTCATTGCGAAAATCTCCATTGAAAAATGGTTTAGATTATATGAAACAATTTTTACCTGAACAACCTAAACCAGAAGCTATTTATTATACCACACATGAATTAATACGGATGCGTAAGTTATTTAAATCTTTAAAAGAAAAAATTGCATATAAACTTATGTTTTATCATTAAAATAAAAAATGAAAGAGAAATGCTTGAAAAATCATTATGATAAATCATTTCAATAGAATTGAAGATTTTGACATGAAGCATCTCACAAGAAAATATTTTAACTAATCGATAACAATCGGTTATGGTGTAAATATTTTGCAAAAGTTATTTTTGATCTTCTAGTCAGATTATAGAACGCATCGAAGTACTCGTAAGACATAAACTTTTTCTGTTTTTCAAAAAAGATCTTTCAGTGAAATAATAGAATCTTGAAGATTTTCATAGTAGTCTTTTATACACAGTCGATCGGCTGTGTACTTGAGTGTAACATAGTCACTTACTAATAACAACAATATTAAATTTAGAAAGACGAAAATAAAAACTAACGAGCGAATAGCGACAATAAAAATGAAAAATAGGGCGTCAGTAAAAATAAGTAAAGAAAATTTCTGTTGAAAATGTAGAAATAAAAAAGAAAACGTTTACAAACAATCCATCATCATTGAAAAAGAACTATCGTCTTATAGAGATATTACACATTGTGTATCTTGTATTAGTATAATGATTTTTTTCTAGACATTTCGATATACTTTATACTTTGGATAGATCAAAGCAAATTTTAATTCATTAACTTTAAGAAAAAGTAGTTGATCAGTTGAAAACATTATCTCGTCAGTCTTACATGTTAAAAACAATGTATATTGTTACTTATATTGTTTCCCATCAATTAGTAAAGGAAGTCGAGTTAAACTCAATCTATAGATACATAGATGATATTAATTTAGATCAAAATTATAACTCGAATATTCTCACATTCTAATTTAGGAAGTGAATAGAATGAGAACTAATCAATTTTTTCTCTTTTGATATCATATTAGTTTCTACATTTATAATGAAAATTTTATTATGATTTACTTATTCATATTCGATTCTCTATTTTTATAGAGGTTTTGAAGGAAAATTCCAATGAATTGACAGCCTATGGTAAATTGCTTGCTAAATTACCTGATTTTGGTTCTTTACCTATGACACGATGTGTATTAGCTGCTCTTCGAAAGTACAATTGTGGACGTGATTTGATTTGTCTTGCATCTATTCTAAGTGTTTTAAATACAACAAATCTGTTAACACAAATACCACAACATTTTAAAAGTTCCGATGGTGATTTCATGACACTTTTAAATGTAATGAATGAAATTTTATTAATTAAACAATCTGTTCCAGCACGATCATTCATATTAGCACGTGTCTGTGAAGTGAAAGGTCTTAGTCACATACGACATATTATTGGACAAGCATTAAGACGATATAATATTTTAGAACAAGCATTTGATCTTTCAAATGATTATCGTGAACAAGCTCAAATTCAATGTGGTAATTGGGTATTAATAGCCAAAGCATTATTAGCTGGTTATTCTGACAATGTTTTTGTTTCTAAAAGAGATTTACAAGATCGAACTCATCATTTTCTACGTTATGGTAATGTGAATGATACAGCTGTTTTAGACTTAAAATCAACATTAATACAACCGATCAGTCAACCGCCTGTATCTCTTGTCGTAGCACGAAATATTCTTTATTTGAGTTCTGTTCGTTTAATAGCTGTAATTTCATTCTTAGGAAAAATAAAAGCTGATTGGATTGAACATGATGTTGAACGACATATAAAGTTAAATGAAGCCGAAGAAAATTTACTTAAAGTTCATAATGGATATTCAACTGCAAGAACAATCTTTGCAAACACCATTCGGATGGGATTAAATAATCAACTTCTTAGTTTAACTGGAATAGCAGGTGTTACACTCAATAGTGAATTATATTTGCTTCAACAATTAATTGTTCAAGAAACATTTTCTTTACAAAATAATAATAGACAAGACTCTACAGCATTTAAGAACTTATCACAAAATTTATTCAGTGTGACAAAAATGACTCAAATATTTAATCCAATGATTCGACGATGGGCAGCTCAAAAACAAGTTACAATAACAGTAAATAGTAATGCAGTCACTAAAACATGTGACATAACAGTGAAAGGACGAGATTCGGAAATTAGAAAAGTCAAAGAAGAATTCGATTCCTTTTTAGGTTGGTTACAAACGTGTGCTGTTGTTAGACACCCGAATTCAGGTAAAGAAAACTGATCTTTAATGAATGTTAACTAATCATATTCTATAAAATTTATTGATATCAGGTGTTTCTCCACGTCTGCTTCGTGCTCAAGTGCGTGCTAATTGTGAAGATATTGAAGAAAGAATTTCTCATATTACAGATACTAAACGAACATATATCGATTTGTATAATAATGCCAAAGGCTCAAAAGCGACACGTGAAACACGAATGGAAGTTGTTGCTTGGGTAGCTGTTTGTAAATTTAATTGTAAATTAGAAGGTGGTTTTGTTCGAGATTGGGTGGTTGGAAAAAATACAGCACGGCCAGCTATTGCAAATTCAAAGGATTGGATTGAATATAAGGCAAATTATCACGGTATAAATATTCCTTATATGAATAAGGAAGTTGTTCCAGCTGATTTAGACTGTCATTTACCAACATATGGTTCATTTGATATTGAAAAATTTCAAGATGAACTTCATAAATTTGATATCAAGTGTGAATGTTTTCGAGAAGAATGGAGATATATTTTATTAATTGATGGCGATGTTCGAACTGGACCATTTACTATGGATCTAATTGAACCACATGTTGCATTAACTCACGATCGTATTGATTTTGATGTTAGTAATTTGGTATTAGAAAAAAATTATACGCGTGACTTAGGAATGCGTATTGATATTCAACAAAAACCTTATTCAATTGAACTTGAAACAATTGTTAATAATATCAAAAATAAACAATTTTATGTTCTTCGTAGTATTGACAGTAAACTCAGTGAACGTATTGAAAAAATGACAAAAATTCGTCATTGGAAACAATTAGAGCCAACATTTAATGTTTTACCAAATCCACCTTTAAAATGTAATGCACTTCTTGTACCATTACATTATACGAGTATTACATATCAAGCTCTATTAAAACAAATGCAACTAATCAATCCTTACATAGAAATTAAATCCATTGAGGAAATTAAAAATCCATATTTGGAAGAGATCTATGAAGGTATGAAAAAAGTAATCAGTACACAATGTCTAGGATTTAATCCAAATGAACGTGAACTTTTTCATGGTACAAGTGGTGATGGAATTATTGGAATAACAGAATATGGTTTTGATGATCGGTTTTATAATCCAGATGGAGCTTGGGGTAAGTTTTATCGTTTAGTTGTTAATTTTTACAAGATGCTAACATATTTTATTTATAATCGTCAATATTTTAATAATAGGAGTTGTACAAGAAATAAACCTTAAAATTAAAATAAATCAGACTTTGTTTAATATCTATAAATTATTCTAGCATAAATATTTTTTGATTTATCTTATAGGTCATGGTGCCTATTTCGCCGATGATGCGCGAAAATCGCATAATTATACAAATCCTCCTGCAGCAGATGGATCACGCGTGATATTTTATAATAAAGTGCTCTTAGGCAATGAGTCAATCTATTCGACCGCCAATAAATCATTAGTATCTGCACCACAAGGTTATCATTCAGTCAAAGGAACGGCATTTACTTATAAAGAATACATAGTTTATCGCTACGGTCAAGCCAGACCTTATCTAAAAGTCACTTATAAATCTTGACTCACTAACAAAAAAACTAATGGTTATTCAAGAAAAACCATTTCAACCTTTTGCAATTACCAAAAACCTTTGAATATGTTCATGTTCGAACATTCAATGTTCTATTTTTTTTCTTATACAAACTAAATTTAGACAACATATGATTGTTTTTGAATCAATAAAGTTTTTTTTCTTGCTATATACATAACTAATATTTAACTAAAAGCTATCTATCAAAATTAAATGACTTAACAATTAACTCTAGAACCAGATGAAATAACAAGACATTATTAACGAACGAAGAATTTTTTGCATCTTCGTCTTTCGTGTTTTTCTATTTGATGATATAAAACATGAAACACAGTTAGGATATACGTATGGGTGTAAGTGATCATGAAGAGGAGAGTAACACCCACACCCACACCGGTATATCGGCCGATCCTGTTTGGTTTGATCAATTTAGATCGGCACCGATAGCCGTATGAAAAAAAGCTTTATTTCGAAAAAAAAAATGAAAATTTCTTATCGTATGATTAGATATTGAAAAAAACTGACAATCGGTCACTACATGCCATATTGTGAAAAATCATAGGTTTGAGCATGAACGAATTACTATTTATGACAGTCATAATAACGTGTTTAAGCGATAAGAATGCGATTCTTACGTGTTACTTAGAAAATCGCTTATTGTGATAAACGAGTATTTTGGATAATACATCACTAATAGCAGTTGGACACTCGCATACGCGTGGCTCTTGAAAAATTTCGAGCATCGCGTCGATTGCTTTTTTCAATAAGCTTGTATGTAAACGCTTATAATGGTTACTTCAGTAATTCAGCACACGAAGATAAAACAAAAACATGAACAAGTAAATTATTTTGCCATTAACACAAGGTGCACAAACAAGAATTATTGAAATGCGTACTTCACCACTCACTTATCATGTGAGCACTTAGCAGAAACTCAGCATTTGCAAACAAAGTAGAATTTCATTCTTTCTTCGACACTTGCTTGATAGACATTTAATTAAATCATGCCTACGAGTACGCAAGCGGCTACTGTATTTCTACCACGTAAATACGTTCCTGCCCAGACAGACACGGTATGATGACTTAAGATCCTATAATGAAGTAATTAGCTTAATATCTGCTACTCTTTCCAGTGTTCGGTTTGAAGGGACGATCAGAACAATCGTTGTGCATATCTGAGAAAAAAACTAATTAAATTTCTATCACTTGAATACATGACCCTTCGATGTATTCATCTCGCACTTCTCAAGCTATGTTCATAGTAGTAGTAGCCATTGAAATAATAAAGTGTTGAGAATATCTTTTAAAAAATTAGAAATTGAATTCGTATTCTTACTGATTAATCGATTTTGTGTCAAACTAAATAATAAAAAGGAAGTGCGGAATTCAAGTGTAGCAAAACGAATGATTTCTGAATCTTTCATCAGTGTATACTTGATTATCACTGCTAGGGTAGAGCCAGACATTGATTTTTCATGTTTGTTGAACAAAAATAGCGACTTTTCATCCTTTTTTATATGTCGTTCTTGATTATTCTCAAAAATGCCCAAATCATACTTTTTAAAAATTTTTTCTACTTTTTGATGTTTTTGTGAAGTTCACAGATATTTTTGAAGAAAATAATGAGTGTAAGCTTTCTAGTCGACATTTCGCGGCTCCCCCTCCTCCTCATTACATACGCTTAGCAATAGCAACCCCATTACAGACCTTAGCATTTTCCACACAAAGGGAAAAATTCTGTTTGACATGCAGAAATAAATAAGAGGGATCCTTACCGAGTTGATCGACTGTCTTGAAAAACAACTATAATTTACGAAAGTTTTCACTTTACGTATTTTGTGTTAGTTTAATGAGGCTAAAAAGATTATGTGAGTCCCACATTTCAGCGCTAAAAGGGCTTCGCTAACAAGTTTTTCTACTTTTTTATTCGTTTTTTCTGTCCCATTCGTCACATGTATCAGAAAAAGGTGGTTGAAAAAATATTTCAATCGAAAATCGCACATTGTATTTCGAAAAGTTGAATTTTTAAGTGTCTATCACCGAAAATCTTTTACCGGAATTTTTTCCATATCTAATTAGATTTAGTTTTTCTTTGAAAGTTCACTCTTCTTGAGGTATTCTTAAAAGACACGAACACCCCCCAAATCGGAAACTCATGCCATCAATAGATCGAGCTTTGGGAGCTGATTCTACGAACACTCACGAAGATTCATGAATGTCCATATCCTTTGCCAGTGAGTAGGTTTACTGGAGTCATGGGCATACCCAAAATATTAGGCTTTTATTTGCTTGCTTAAGAAAAATAGTAGGAATGTACTTTTTCAATTTTAACCCTTATAATTGAATTTCGTATATTAGTCATTCTACGTAAACCACGACCGAACTTTGCTCAATCGAGGTCGTCAGTTTTTGTTCAATTTAAGACACTGCTGGAGAGGAGAGAGTTTTATGAATTTTAACGCAAGCCATTTTGAAAAATATTAAACTCGATTTTTTATTGATGTTTCACGAAAACTTCTGAAAGCCTTCAGTTCGACCAACAGGGATCTGCGAGTTCTTCCAGACCCGGATCCGACCCGGTTAGAACTGTGTGAGGAATAACAACAAGCATTAACTTTATATTGACTATTTTTCTGAGTATAACCAATAAATAACTACAATCTTGATCCTTTATTTGGTCACGCGCAGGTCTCTATCGACCAACGGGGAGCTTGACGGGACTATATCTTAAGGATAGCTCGACTGATTGAGCTGAGATTTTTGTGGACATGTATCTCTCTGACTTCTACTGAGGATAAAATTTTGAACTTAAAACAGTGAGCCCTTGACTATTTGTGATTCATCCAAAACTGGAAAAAATCCACATTTTAGACAATTTTGGTGCTTCATAACTCGTGACTGGAGTAATATGCAGAGCTAAAATTTTTACCCGTGATAGAGTTTATAAAGATGTAGAGTCATTATAAATTTTCAACAATTTGCACTCTTCCTTTCAATCAGTAAAACCCTCTGAAAAATCGGTTTTTGATGAATATCGTGGTTTTCAGACAAGGCTTTCTCCAAAGCAATAGCGTAGCTTGATGGCTGAGTTTAAAAAGTTGGAACACACATTTAAGGTCTACAACTTCATGGCAAGGGTATGACTGTGGATGGGTCAACTTGGGTATAGACGAGATCCAAATCCACACCCTGTCCGACACCCATCGCTCAATTCGAATTTTAGCTGTAAAACTCCCTGCTCCGTAGACGACCTCATTTGGGCTTCCCAAGGCAACCTATTTTCTGAACAGTTGCTAAATCCCACAGGTGCTTTCATCATGAAGTTGTAGTCCTTAGATGTGTGCTCCAACTCTTGAAACTCAGTCGTCAAGCTATGCTATTACTTTGAAGAAAGCCTCGTCTGAAAACCACGATTTTCATCGAAAACATTTTTTTTGCGAGTTGTACTGATCGAAAGGAAGGGTGTAAATGGTTGAAATTTTTAGTGTATATGCATCTTTATAAACTTTATCGCCAGTAAAAATTTTAGGTCTTCATTTTATTGCAGTCACAAGTTATGAAGCATCAATATTGTCTAAAATGTTGCCTTTTTGCCCATTTTGGGTGTGGGTGTGATCTTCATCCTAATTGAAACCCACAGCCACATCCACCCACACCACACACCCTTACGAGGTTGAGCTGTACAGCTCTAATGAACACAAGCGAAAATGGATTGAGTCTTATAGATGACTCGCATATTCGTAGTACAGGAGAAACGTTCACGCTCAAATGAGCGGTTCACCAACGTGAGCGTGAGCTGTACAATCCTATAGTAGACCCCGCTCACCAAAAAAGAGTGAGTCAGGAGATCCCACTCACATAGAAACGAGTTGATCATCATCGATTTGAGCTAGCTCTTCCGACTCATTGAGCTGTGAACTGTCATATACCTACTCTTTACAACGGTGATCGATGTTCCATAGAATTTCAAAATTCTTTCATAAACCAGCAATACTCGTGACTTCAAGTCATCTAAACACTGTTCTCAATTCAGCAAATTGCCTCATTATCTTTGTTCAGGTCCATGCACCACCTTCTTCTACAGTGAAACAGATAAATTTGGATCTGAATCAAGTACATCAAGTCTCATCGAATACCGTCAACGCACACAATTTTGGGTTAGTCTTGCTTATGAAAGATGATGATTTTTTTAGAGTTTTGAAGGCTCATTTTTATACTTTTTTCTATTGGAAACAGCAGAAGTGTATTTGGAACAAAATTACTGTTCATCATTCTCGCCACCATAATAATTATTGTAGTTGTTACTGCAGTTGGTGTTTCTATTTTCCTGACATTCAAAGCATCAGCGATAAGTGAGTCCAATTCAAATGCTGACTCAGCTAAATAGTTTTTTCAATCAGTAGCTTTACGTTTGATCTACTCAATCTTAGAGCAAATTGTGTACAGTTAATAAAAAACATATAGATTTCCTGCTCTCTAGTAAATGTTTAAGTTCATTAACTGGTAGAAACTAAATGTATGCGTACATTTATTTCCAAGTATACATGAATGTCTCATACACTGATCAACATGTCAAACGTAAATGAACGTGGTATAGCATGAACTTCTGCCGAAAATCTTCTCAGTATCCTGACCAAACGGGTCTGCTTTTTGTAAGAACGATAGACGCGAGTCTAAATTTTTATTATTTGAACAAAATCTAATAATAATCAATAAGTTATAAAGACTAATTATTTTGATCTGATCTTGAATGGTTTTTACGAAGATTAAACAGTAACTCTTTTGAGCTTTCAGAGATCTCATACAGCTAATGCATCAGGCAATGCGTTGCAACATCAGACAGGCGAATGCATTGAGCAGACGCCAAGCAAAGGCATGCATGGATTTTAACTATCAAAGAATGATGAAATCAAATTGATTTTTCGAAGAACCCGTAAGTAGATTCATTGAAAGTTTTTCTAAACTTTTTAAAATACCATTCATTCGCATCGGACAGCGATTCACTCATCTCTTTACTGAAATACCATGAAAGGTGATGGGAGTGAACATAGGGGCAAGACGTTTAAAAGTAGTCTACAAGAGAGTTATAAGGGATCCGACAGGAAAATGCTTGTATTATTTAGACTTAGTGATACCTAATAAAGTCGAACTTTGAAAACTAGAATTTCCAAGGTGAGAATCTCACGGTTTCTAATACAAAAGTTCGAAAAGGATCGAAGTATTCACATAAAAATGGTTTTACGTTAAGAAGTCGTGAAGTATTTCATCGACGGCAATGCGTCTGAGTCATTTAGTTGCAAAGACATTTTGCTGCGAGGACAAAATGTTGTAATCAAATGGTCACAGGCAACATCATTTGCAGAATACTTTGAACACGCCAAGTTGTCAGCTTGGGTAGATGTGATTGCAGCAGGACAAAATCCACCAGTGGGTGAACACGGGAGTACATCAAAGGCATCGGAAATTATCATGGATAGCGGTAGGCCGATAAGTCCATGCATCTATAAGAATATGTGGGCAACAGTGGTACCTGTAGGAACTGATGAGCCCATGTCCTCAATGGTGCCAAGAAATGCCAAATCATGCCTACTCATCGCTACCCAGGGTACCTTTGAATGCCTGTATGTACCTCCGGATATTGTTAGACGACAGAGGGCTCATAGTCTCATCGGTCGACAGCTACCCAGCGTGATTTCGAGCGGCTTTGTGCGTACTGCCGTATTCACGTACTGTTGATATTTATCGTGCTGCAGTCACATCTACTCAAGTTGATAACTTCGTGCTTTGAAAGTACTCTGCAAGCGAGGTTTTGTCATTGTAGTGAAATGAGCTTGCAAATAGATGGCTTTTACAAGCAATAATTACGCCGAGTTCATCTGTCAACATTTGAATACTACGAAAATTATGATAAACTAAGAAATTCAAAACATAAAAATAACCAATAATAGCACAAAAGGCTAAGTACCGCGAGATAATCAAAAAATCCAAATGCATTGTTTTCTTCGATCTATCATATTGTGATATTTTGCTTTTTCTTTTAAAACCATCTGATATATAGAGACTGGCAGATACCTTGGTAAAATTATACGCATTTGGGCTCTTACCTTTCAGTGTAGGAAGCATTGCCGAAAATGCGTCCAAAATAAAGCGTGTTACAGTCAAAGTTGAACTATATTAAAGACACTGTTAGAGTCGGCGGGATCTCTTGATGTAGCTGAGTTTCATTGATTATAATGTGAACTACATGCTAATAGAAATGGGTTCAACATTTTGAGAAAATGCGATGGCTTTTTATGACCATATCCAGTGAATGGTAGAACATCATGTAACGAATTCTGAAGGAGAAAAGTGAATGCTTTGAATTTTATGATGTCAAAGCGATTCGAAAGCGAAAAATACAGAACTTCGTTGTTTAGAGAATTCAGATCTCATGGTTCTATACAACGATTCCTCGTAAAGACAGAAGAATTTGATCTCCAATTCTGGGCCACGATGTGCAGTGTTGCTTCCAGCATAAAAGAATCTTTTTTCCAGATGGTACGATGATTGCTATTCTTCAAATTATATTCCTAGACACTTTCGATTATTATCGGAAGGCTTATAGCGCGTATGAAGACAAAAAATAGCTTTCAAATTCTTGAGTTTTCTAACATTTTCGATTGCTTCGCATTGTAACAATAGGTTTTTCAAACTATATATATGATAAATAAAAAGTTGAACTAATGACTTCAGAAAACTTTTCATCGAAATTATGATTTTGATGAGGTTGAACTATATATATCATGATGTGTTGATGCAAAAAAAACACGGAGAACCGCCAATCTTGCGTCTATTTTGAGAAAAGCTCACCGAATTTCTTAAAACGAAGGGACCGACTTTGATGATAACAAATCGAGAAAGATTCATAATCGGAGCTGACAGCTTGTCTACCAAGTCTTCGATGGAGATAGAATGTAAAACTTATGCTCGCTATTCTTCCAAAATAGAGAAAAAATTGAAGATGGAATGAATACAACTAGCAGAAGAAGAAGCACTATTCTGTGATTGTTACAAATCAGAAAACTTAACATATTACTGGGCTACTTCTCAATTGCGAACATGAATAAAATCAAGCTTCAATACAATAGATTGCCTTATAATTTTCGGTTGATTATAAACTTGACAAATTTATTAGTTTTCTATAAATCGAATTAATTTGATAGTTAACTTTTGAAGATTTGATTAATGAGAACGCACATAGAAAATAATATTTTAAGAAAAGTTGCTATAATTTGTAGAGAACGTGAGTTTTTGTTTAATAAAAGTTTTTTGAACTCGAAGAATTTCCAGTGATGTTTAGAGGACGTGAGCTTTTAATCAGAAAATAACGTTTTGATCTAGGTAGAATCGGAGTCATATGTAGAAAGCTCTCTATCGTATAAAGAAAATGTTTTTTAAATTAGTAATTGTCAAGTGTTACATGAGATAAATTTATATGCATATAATAAATTGTCTTGAGAGTAATATAAATATTAAAATAAAGCATTATTATTGGTTGGACCTAACATAATTTTTGTGAAAGAGAACTAAATACTTTGGATAGATATTGAGTAGCTGAATGTTTTTTTTGTTATTGATAAAGAAATACTGATAATGCTAGAGCTAGGATCATCGATTTGTGTTTAGCGAAGCAGGATTTTAATCGAAGTCAAAGAGAAGTGTCAAAGAGTCTTTATCATTTTCGTAGTGTTAATTCAAGATTTATTGCGGGTGTAGGGAGAGTGGATGTGTGTGTAAAGAGAAGAAGGTCACCAACGTCCATATTCCAAAGCCGTCTTTATTTGAGCGTCGTTTTCTATTTTTTTTATTTCTGTGTATAAATATTCTTACACCTCGACTATGTAGTTTTTGTTCATTCGATGTTCGATTCCATGTTATAATAAGAATTACACGATGTGTTGACGTCGAAGAATAACAAGCTTAACACATATATAGTAACAATGATGTCTAGTGAATTCCATAATTTGCAGTTAATTAAAAAAGAAAAAATGCGCTTGTTTAGAGAACTCTATAAATTGCAGTTAGTTAAACGTAAAACTGAGTGTATAGGTTTCCTTAAGTGTTACGAGTAAATTTTTAAAAAATTAGAAAACGAAAATATTGAATTTTCGACGATTAGTTTAAAAATGATCTGCATTACAAAATAAATTTTCTTAAACTTGTTATGGGTAAAGTTTCAAGAATTTAAAAAACGAAAATCTCAAATTTTGGATTATTTTTATTTAAATAATTAAAATTAAAAAGGATCAATAAAATTGAGTGAAACAGTTTTTCAACTTCGGTTTTCTGTTTACAAATGAGAAGGCACGATATTAATTTATAATAATTCGACCAATCTTTGACTTTTTCCACGCGGAATTGGGCCAGAAAAATATCTGTATCTGTAAAGGATAACGAGAGCAGGAAAAACCTTCGAATACAAACTTATATGCACACCTTGATTTCATAGTCAATCCATGTCACAAAAACCAAATCACTTTTAGCGACAAACCGCGATTTACCGGCAAAAATCACCGGTTAACCGACAAAGCGCCGATAAAGCGAGAAAAACCGGCGGTTTACCGCGGCTAACCGAAAAAAACAACCGGTTAATCTCTGTAAAGAAGCTGGTAACCGGATCCATAAAACTGCGGTAAACCGCCGATTTTTTTCCGGTTTTCATTACATGGGAATTCCATAAAGATGCAGAATTTTTTCAGAACATATAACATCATTAGAATAGTCTACTGATAGACAAATGAAAAATAATCAAATTCATGATTCTTCGCGGTCAATGAGGTGAATGTGCAAGAATTATCGTGCACTAGAGTTACTTTTCGAATCGAAATAGTCAAATTTTTGTTTTAGCAACGACGACAACAACAACGACAACTACAACGGCAACTACAACAACAACAACGACGACAACAACGACGACAACTACAACAACAACGACAACAACAACGACAACAACAACGACAACTACAACGACAACAACTACAACAACAACAACTACAACGACAACTACAACAACAACGACAACTACAACGACAACTACAACGACAACTACAACGACAACTACAAAGACGACGACAACAACGACGACTACAACAACAACGACAACAACTACAACAACAATTACAACGACGACCGGTAAAAATAACTCACCAAAGTACTTCCGAGACAATGCAGAAAACGAATGTAAAATCGTAATTACCTGTTTTTTTCCGAGAGCTTCACTAAATTGTTTTGTTAACCTTCACAGAAGCATATTAACGTGCCAGAAGCAAATGTCCCACGAACCTCGAATTCTGATTCTTTCCTCTTGAACGACAGAGCGGTTTGTATCACTAAGCATTGTTCTGTTTCTACCTGGGCCCATTCTTCTGTCATTCATTGAAGAGACGATTCGTGATCATCAGTAAGATGAAACCATGCCTCCTGAATAGCGAAAAACCTGAATAATTTTTTTTGGCTTAGGCAACAGGTAATGTTCATTGGTTACCAATTCATTTTGCGTTATACTACGTGAATAGACATATAGATTTTGTCTTATATAATTACAGAGATGGAAAAGCAAATATCAGACAGAAATGATATGATAAATATTCCTTTGACCAAGGATACGGATGGATGGGGGGAATCCCATTTCAGTCTTTTCGTTTTTCATTTTTTATGTTAGGTATATAAATTTAAATGCCCTCTATCTAATGAGCACATTTTAAGAAGGTAAAACTACCTTTTTCTATGTAAAAACTAGAAAAAAAACCTCAATTTTATGTTAAAAGAGCAAAAAAGTGCAAATTTGCGATTTCTTCAAAATCAGATTTTGAAACAAAAAATTGAAGTTTTCCTTCTATTTCTCCTGCATGGTAACGACTGATCGGGTTCAAACTTTTTTTATGAGTAATTCGATCAAATTAGGGAGCGTGTTATTTTTTTTCTTGATAATATTGTACCTTTGAAGTTTGGCAGATTTTACAAATTTATCACCATCTGAAAAAAACCTTTTTTTAAATAGTTTTTTGATAGTGCCTCCAGTATTTTGCTTCTCTTGAGCTTCAGGACCAATATTTTTCAAAAAAAAATCACGCACTCGAATTTGTTCCTAGTTACCACACAAAAAATTTCACCCCTAAAAAGCATAGTGTGGATGTTTGCGAGAGAAAAACTTCAGGTCATTTTTGGCCCTTCATGTTCCAAGGTCTCCAGAAAGAAAGCATGTGAGAACTTTGAGTCTGTGACAACTTTTATTCTACTCATCAAGATCTATCTACGATGAAAGATTCAAAACTTTTCATCTAGCCATCCTCGAGAAACCTCGGAAGGGAGTCCCCTTAAGCTTTATATTACTCGAGGAGTTCTATTGGAAAAGCATTTCGCACAACCGAATTCTGATTTAAATAGTTAATCACGAGTCCTCGTGTGGCATAAGACTACAGTGCGAAATTTTTTTTAAAAAGGCTGATTATCAAGTGAATTTTCAGAAAACAATGATTTACCGTCCTTTTTTTGTTTTTATTTGAGCTCCACCATCGACTTCTTGCGTGAGTACCACCACCTCAATGTTCTATAACAACGAATTCCTCTATTCACCAACTTCACGAATCTACGCAGCTGGCATGTTAAACAATCAATTTGGTATATATAGAGCATACGGTTATGGAAATGTCACTTCGACAACAATTTGGACAGCAAGCCAGTCCTCAACATCTCAAACAGCCTATCTTGCGTTACAAACAGATCGTAATCTGGTTGTTTATACAATGAGTTGGGGTGTGTTGTGGGCAGCTGGTATCAACAATGGTGGTATTGGAAATCCATTTTGCTTCCAGATGCTGGATTCAGGAAATCTGATATGGACTGATAGTTCTTCAACAATCATTTGGCAAACAAATACTGTACAGAGCGGATAGCTTCTTCTTATTCTCTCTTTCCAGAATATGAATCCAACGAATTCAAAGTGAATATTCGATCCTATACAACTGACATACGATGAAAATATAAGTTGTTCGTGTACCTTTTACGTGTATATAAGCTCTTTCTGACTCGGGTGTGGGTGGTGTGGGTGTGTGTGCGTGTTGGTGTGCGTGTGAGTGTGGGTGTGGGTGTGCGTGTGGGTGGGTGTGGGTGTGGGTGGGTGTGGGTGTGTGTGCGTGTTGGTGTGCGTGTGA